ATATATACACTATTGATTGACGAGGTATGTGTGGATCTGTGATAACATATAACCATCTAATAATTTAATAATTTGCTATTTTGCAATATCTCGGGAACTATTCAAAGAAATCAGCAGCAAAAACAATTCCGCGTGATTTTAAAACTAGTTTACTCAAAGTTAGTTTAATGTAAAAAATATTTTGTAATTATTTAGTTTAATAATGGTAGAAAATATTTGAAAAGTAAAGTACACAAATTTTTACATCATTTTAAGACACGTTACTTTAAAAGTTAAATGATTAATTTAAAACTGAGTAATTTAAAGAGATGTAAAAGTTAGAGTATCTTACTATTCAAAATTTTTTCGACCATCATTAAATTTAGTAATAAAACACACAATATTACCTTTGAGTAAACTTGTTTTATAGCTGTGTGAGCAAAAACTGTTTGATTCACTGAAATAATTCCAGAGATATAGCAAATTACACAAAAAGTGAAATTAACTTTAGGACATTTAAACTACATAGGCTATTTTTCAGATTTTGGTTACCCCTACAAGCAGAGCTCAAAAAAGTTTTTTTTATTCAGATTAAGTATGATTTCCTATCTGATTTTGCATCTCTTAAAATTATTAATATAAGTTATTTAGTATATTTAAAATTAGATCATTGAAACAATGAGACTGTTCTTTTAAGAGTAAAAAATCATTCATGGGATCAAAAGTTATTCAGGTTATCCTTTTTCACACGAAGAAAAAGAATTCTGGTAAAACTGTGCACTCTTTGGAGATGACATTTCTGGTATGAAAAAATAAATAAATAAATAAATAAAACATAATTCTGGTTAACAAAACTAAAATATACGATATTTAAATCACTGCTTTAGCAATTTTTCTGTTCATATTGTAGCGATATACGAGAAATTCCAGTTTTCGAAAATACAGACCTTATTACCACAGATTTAGTAAACAATATAAAACTGAAAAGTAAATGTAACCGAATAAATAGTCTTTATACCATTCTCTAAGATATGACATTGCTCCCATTAAGCTAGATATACGGTAAATTTTTCCTTATTCTGGAAGTTTTGACGATGCTTTTTTTTTCGGAGTGTCATTTTGCGCTCTGTACATTTTTCAATTTTTGAAAATAAAGGGCCTGCATATCCTGGCTGGTAGGGCGTTGGACTCGTGTTTGGGAGAACGGGAGTTAAATCTGTCGGGGTTACAAAGTCTTCCAATTTCCCATAACAAATCAATACCTCTGGGGGAGCCGCGATGGCTCAGGGGATAGAGCGTTCACCTTCCAATGAGGTGAACCGGGTTCGAATCACAGTCGATACGAATTCCCCATCCGGCTTGCACCGACCACAGTGCTGACGCTAAATATCCTCAGTGGTATACGGATCACGGGTTAGAGTCCCCTTGCCGTCAGGCTAACCGTGGGAGATTCTCGTGATCTTCCTCTCCATGTAACGTTAATGCCGGTTAGCTCCATCAAAATGTCCTCCACGTAGGCAAATTTCTCCCAATATTCGATCCAGGAGTTCCCTTGTCTTCTGGATTGGGTTCAAAATTACAATGCTACGGAGTTGAACATTAGTAGTCGTAAACCCATAAAATTGGGTCGGCTGGACAACGACGGTTATAAAATAAAATAAAATACCTCTGGGGGAACTGATCCAAGATTCCCTTGTCTTTTGGATTGGGTTCAAAATAGCAAGGCTACGGTATTGAGCACTGGTAGATGCAAACTCAAAGTTGGATCGGCTTTTCAACGATGGTTATGAAATAAATTATGCAAATACCGATATTTCAATTTATTAAATTTTTTCGAAATATGTTTTTACAATTTTAGCAACAGTAATAAATGTATACGAAATTTATCTAATAAATCTCTTTATCTAATTTACCTCACAGATATGTTATTGAGAGAGGATTAAAACTCCCACAAAATTTTAAAATAGTGCAGATTTTTAAGATTGATGGATATGTGGGTGTTAAGGTCTTTTTAACTTCTAAAACAGCATCGAAATAGTATAAAAATTACGTAATTCTTATTTTATTTATCAAAAGTTTAATCTAAAAAATGATAAATTGATTATTAAATTTTCATTATTTTATCGAATCATTTCTGAAATAAATTCCTTTTATTATTTTTAAAGCAGTTTTCGTTAATCTTTCAGCTGTATGAATCATAATAAAGGCATTTTTCCCAGTGCAAATTATATAATATATTTCAAAAAAGAATTCATGATATTACTGTTCTTATACATTTCATAATTTATAAATTATTTAAAACTTTTTCGATTTATATAAATTTTATCTGTTAACATATTTTTGATTATTTAATTATTCAAAAAGTAATTATATGGTTTTAAACTTGACGTAATTTGTTAAATTAATAAAATATATGCAAAATAACTAGTGAAATGTTTAGGTTCATATAGCCTTTTCATCGAAATTATAGTTTTTCTTTTTCTTTAATTTTTTTTCATTTAAACGAATTTTATAATTTTAGAAGTTATCGAATTGTTGCCAATCAATTGTTTTCTGTTATCTAAAAATTATAACCTCGTTATTTGCTCAGCATTGTTTACTTTTTATTATATAAATATAAAAAAATAGTTATTTTGTTTTAGAATTGATACAATTATTAAATTTAATACAGTAAAAACAGCATTAATAAATAAAATTTTCTTGCCTATATATGACACTGATGAAATTATATTTTTACAGCTCAATACTTTAAAAATATTTTTCACTGCTTCGAAAATTTTAATTTTCATTAATACTAAATATAGATATAAAAAAAAATTATGTAGATTTGGTAGTTAAATTTGTTGCACGTCAAAGTGATTTTCATTTTAAGAAACTTAATCGTTTACACTAAAGGCAATACAATATTTACTGAAATATTTATTTGGAGAAACTTCCTTTTCCTAAAATTAGTCTAATGATTTTATCAGCCTAAAATTAAAAGTTAATTTTGTAATACGAATGAAAAATTCACAAGTCTTAAGCCAGTTTATTAAATGTCTTATAAATTTGGTACTTCATTAATATTTTTTTTCAAAAAATTGGTAATCAAGTGAAATAAATACTTCATTAAAATTTAATATTATTGAATATTTACTATATATTTATTAAATATTTATATTGATATTTATATTTTTTAATAATTTATATTTATTAATTATTAACATGGAAAAAAACTTCCACTAAGATTTGTGGAAATTTACGAATCTTAAACCGGAATATTAAATGTCTTATAAATTTGGTACACATTGTTGTTGTTTTTTTTAAATTGGTAATCAAGTGAAATTAATGCTTCATTAAAATTTAATATTATTAAATATTTACTAAATACTTATTAAATATTTATATTTTTTTAATAATTTATATTTATTAAATATTAACATTGAAAAAAACTTCCACTAAGACTTCTGGAAATTCACAAATCTTAAACCAGAATATTAAATGTCATATAAATTTGGTACACATTATTGTTTTTTTCTAAATTTGTAATCAAGTGAAATTAATACTTCATTAAAATTTAATATTATTGAATATTTACTAAATATTTATTAAATATTTATATTGATATTTATATTTTTTAATAATTTATATTTATTAAATATTAACATGGAAAAAAACTTCCACTAAGATTTGCGGAAATTCACAAATCTTAAACCAGAATATTAAATGTCTTATAAATTTGGTACACATTAATGTTTTTTTTTTAAATTGGTAATCAAATGAATTAAATACTTCATTAAAATTCAATATTATTGAATATTTACTGAATACTTATTAAATATTTATATTTATTAAATATTTATATCGATATTTATATTTTTTTAACTCTTTATATTTTTTTAACTATTTATATTTATTAAATATGAAATTATATTTCTATAAATATTTATATTCATTAAATATTTATATTGATATTTATATTTTTTTAAATTATTTATATTTATTAAATATTAACATTGAAAAAAACTTCCACTAAGATTTGTGGAAATTCACAATTCTTAAACCAGAATATTAAATGTCTTATAAATTTGGTACGCATTAATATTTTTTTATATTGGTAATCAAGTTAAATAAATACTTCACTAAAATTTAATAGCATTGAATATTTACTAAATGTTTATTAAATACTTATATTTATTAAATATTGATATTTATTTAATATTTATATAAATATACATATTTATTAAATATTGATATTTATATATTTTAATTATTTATATTTATTAAATATTAACATGGAAAAAAATTTTTTTTTTCTTTTAAAAAAAATCTGCAAACGTCCTTAAAATCCAATTATTAGTTCAAAGTAAAAATCCAAAATTAAATCTTTAGCATGAAATAAACTTTCAAAAAAAATATAAATAACAAAATATTTAAATAAATGTAAATTTAAAACATCCTACTTGCAACAAAGAGACAGCCGCTATCAAAAACCTTTTGAAAAAATATCCATTTATAGTTTGAAATCCTTTCCGCAACTCATCCTGGACAGTTCAATCTTCAACTAAAAAAACTCACTAACTGTTGACATTCAACCAGAAGCAGCATTCAAGTTCAAAAGTTTCTACTCTAGCGTTGCAGTGAAACTGTGCCTGACACTCTGGTTGGATAAACTCCTCTCAACACCACAACTCTCTCCCGCCTTAGTGACACACAACTGAATAGAGTGAGTATTTGTTATAACTCATAAATGATCCACTGAACTACATTAACCATTTGTTGTACAGATCAGCGGATAAGGGATGGACGCTTTTTTTCTCTTCTGAAATTGACCAGGTCAACCATGGGTGGTGCAGGAATTCTTGTTCGCGATGAATGATTTACCCCTTTGAAATCTGGAAATTCGCGACTGTACATAAAAAGGGAAATTTGATTTATGCTGTATGAACAATGCGATATTTATGCGAGGGAAATTATGTTTTTGATTAATTTCATTCATATGGTAAATTGTGCAAAAGTAGTTTTTTATTGAAAATTTATAGGATTGACTAAAGAGAGGAAAGGTATTTGCAAATGTGGTAATTTATTTATTTTCATCCGGTAGGGTACGTTTGTCTGTCAATATTTTATCAGTGAAGGTGAGGATTGCATATTTTTGAAAACATCAACTTTCATTGAATTTTTATTTTTCACAAGCTATAAATATTCAAATTACTTTCAATTCTGAACCAAAAAGTTCAGTAGCCTATGAAGAATTTATAATAGAAAATGATTCCCTCAAAAAATGGAGGAAAATATTCTGGTAAAATTGCCGCACTGGATGGTAATGACTTTTCTGATTAAAAAAAAGAGAGAGAGAGAAACAATAATTCTGGTTAATGAAAATAAATATACCGTATTTGAATCATTCATTTCATAATTTTTATGCTCATATGGTAATGGTTTATGCGAAATACTGATTTTCAAAATTATAGCTCTTATTACCACACGTTTAGTAAAAAATACAAAATTGAAGAGAAATATTTACTAAATAAATGGTTTTCATGCCATGCTCTAAGGTATTATAATAAAATTATCACATTTTCTAAATTTTATCTCAGATTATAAAACCATTTTTCATTGTTAATTTTACCAAAATCATTACCTTGGCGCTTCAGTAAATAACCGGCAGCATAAAGTCTATAGTTAGGAACATTTTATACCTTTACGGTTTTGAAGCCGTTTAAGTCAAACTGGTACGGTTAAAAAACCGTGAAAACAAAACTATACGCTTCTGTAACCATTTATGACTAATATATTTTCTAAACCCTAAAGATGAAACTTAAATGGACATAAGAGCTCTGTGGGTGCTGCGCTCCACAGTGCGAATGATAGTTACGTATGTGTGAATGATAGTTTATGTGTGAATGATAGTTTATGTGAGAATGATAGTTACGCATTCTTATTGTACATGGTCACCGATTGAAGAGTGCAGGCCACTGTAAACTCTTCATGTATCTGTGGAATGAAAGAAACATTGTAAGATCAATGCTAGGATTCGAACCCTTGTTCAGCCGGTCTTGAGATTGACCGATTAACCCTGTCGGCTACAGAATGTACCCAGCTGCACAAAATGGCTTTATAAGGTAAGCCTAGTTGGCATCGATAGAATTCTGGTTGTTTATCCGTATTAGGAAAAAACAGTAAATGACCGTTTTTTTTCTCTCACTTAACAGCTTGAATATCATTTTTTAATGGTTATTTGACTGTTTGGGTTGAATATGGAAAAATTAAATTAATATTTTACCATTGCTGTAAAGAAATTTCTAAATCTACCATCACTCAGAGTACCGGGTAGCTACTTTTTACCGTAAAATCCATTTTTACTGGAGCATATGATACGGAACAAAAAATCTGATATACCGTAATTTTTGCAGAAATAATTACCGTTAAATCACGGAATCACTCTTAATTTAATAAATATTATTGTAAAAATTGCTGTATGATATATTACAGTAAAAATGGATTTTACGGTAAAATAGATTTTACTTATAATGCACCCAAAGTGCTATTTTATACCGTAACTTACCAGTACTCGATTACTGCAATTTGATCTGGAATTTTCTGCAGTGTATAAGCTTGTTATATTTCTAAGCGCATTGCATAGGTTTTGGGATACTTATTTTGGTTCATTGCTTAGTAAATCACTGATTAATGAATGTGTATAGTGAATGTGTAAAGTGTATAGTAAATGAGCATAGTGTCATAAATAGCAAAAAATAATTACAGCATCTGGAGTGATGATTTTAATTTTTTCTTAGAATGAGGTTTTAATCTTGAGTTTTATTTTAATTCTTTTAATAGTGCCCTTTAATTTTAGAAGTGATTTTGGGAAAAAAATTATGTCTTTTTATGCACAGAAATATAATTGAAAAGTTGAAATATTAAAACTGTGCGGCTATTATTTCTCTTCATTCTCTCAAAATCATATGTCTTTTAGAGAAGAAATGGTTTTAATTATTTTATATTGAAAATAACTATATTGTTTGGTTATTAAGCTATAGTAATGCTAGACTCGGTTTTCCCATATGAAATGTTCGTAAAAATGAAAAAGAAATTTTAAAAAGTCACTTTACAAACTAACAATCCTATTACGAATTAATTTCATAAAATAAACCCATCTTACTTAGAGCTAAATTCAAATTGCTTACTTAAATATCTTTTGACTTTACATATATTTTTAGTTCAAAAGTATGTTATTAGCCATATTAGATATAATTATTAAATTTTAAATTTGAATAAGATATATCTTTTGATATACGAAGGCATTTATGAAACGTTATTTGTGTATATGAACAAATATTGAAGAAATATAAGTAAAACATGCTGGGAGAAAAAAATTCTGGTAAAATTACCGTACTTACAGTTCGGTAATTTCACCAGAAATTTTTTGGCAATGACATTTCTGCTTTTTTTTCTTTAAAAAAAAAGAAGAAGGAAAAACATAATTCTCGTAATAAAACCAAAGTATACGATATTTAAATCATTAACTTGGTAATTTTTCCGTTCATATAGTAACGGTTTATCGAAAATTCAGGTTATCAAAACTATACTTCTTGTTATCATATTTAGTAAAACATATAAAACTGAAAAGTAAATTTGCACAAATAAATGCTTTTTTGCCATGCTCTAAGAAATCATGATAAAATTAACAAATTTTGCAACATTTACTAAATTTTATCACATATTATAACACTATACTTTATGGTCAATTTAACCAAAATCATTACCAAAAGCTTTGGCAAAAATTACTGAAATTTTTGGTGTTCCCATAGAGCCAGAAAGACGGTAAATTTAACCATATTCTGGTAGTTTTGATCATACTTTTTTTATCAGTGTGTGATAAACTTACCAATGAAGTTAAAATTGTAGAGTTTGGTAAGCATAATCTATGATCACATAGAGATTACACACTGTATCAAGAAAATTAAGAAATCAAGTCTTTGATTTATTAAATAACTTAAGAGCATACAGAAAATTTTAGACCCTTTACGGAATAAGAACAAATACGCTTGCTGAAAATTATCATTCAATATATTAATATTTTAAAACAACTCTCTCAAAAGTTATCATTCTTAAATAAAAAATACGCTTTAAAAAAGCATGAATGGACATAGAAGTAAGTGAATAATTAATTTTATTTATCTTATAATTAATTCGAAGAGAAGGAAAACATATGATTAATTCATTTGTCTATCCGATTTGTCAGCAGAAATAAACATTTTAAACAACGAACGACTTAAATAGAACTTCCAGATAAGATGAAGTGAAGTTTGTTTTTCATAATTGAAATAAAGATGGTATTTGTCGTAATCTAAAAGCAATATTTCACTCCAATAGATCGGAAACAATGTTAGGTAAATATCACATTTTCATAATATAAAAATAGTTCTGCTTAAAGTATAATTATTGTCTGATACAGCAATTAAACTGAATGAGCAGGCAAAAAGGGTGAAATTTATGAGCTCTTAAACGAACATTCACACACGACATTTATTTCTTAACTTAAATTTGTTTTCCCGCTAAATATAACTACTTTCTTCTAATGGACTGGGATATGAACAATACATGAGGAATACATCAATTAAATAAGACAAACTTTAAGACTTGATCTTAATGCATGAACCTTTGATTATGAGTTCTTAGACGAACATTCACTCCCAACATTTAGTTCTTAACATAATTTATTTTCAAGATAAATCATTTTTTTTTCTCTTATAATATAGTACGAATAAGGTACAATAAATAATGAACTCCTCAATTAAATAAAAGATAAATCTTAACTCCTTAATTATGAGTTTTTAGACGAGCACTCACTCACAACATTTACTTCTTAACTTAAAATTATTTTAACTACAAGCCGGCCAGGTGGCCGAGTGGTTAGCGTGTCTGACTGCGGAGCCAATGGTCGCGGGTTCGAATCTCGCTCTGGGCATGGATGTTTCTCTCTCTGTGTTGTCTTCTGTTGTGTGAATGAGTGAATGTGGCCCACCCTATGAACGGGTTTGTGGCAGTATGGCGTGGGTAACGTTGCTCGCCTCCGTGACTTTGATTCACAGGTGCCCACTGGGTAACGCTAAATGANACCTAAGTTCGTAGCGAGCGAAGCGAGCTTGGTTTGCGAAGAAAACCATATAAGATTGCGTAGCAATTTTCGGGGGTTGGCGAGCGTTAGCGAGCAGGGGGCTCAGCCCACTAGTTAATTTTATTTATCTTATAGTTAATTTGATGAGAAAGAAAATATCTGATTAATTCATTTGTCTATCCGATTTGTCAGCAGAAATAAACATTTTAAACAATGAATGACGTAAATAGAATTTCCAAACCAGATGAAGGTTGGAAGTAAAGTTTGTTTTTCATTTTTGAAATAAAGATGGTATTTGTCGTAATCTAAAAACAATATTTCACTCCGACAGATCGGAAACAATGTTAGGTAAATATCATATTTTCATGAAATAAAAATAGTTCTGCTTAAAGTATACAGCAATTAAACTGATTACACAGCACTTAGAACAATTATACAGCAATTAACTGTTACAGCAATTAAACTGAATGAGCAGACAAAAAGCGTGAAATTTATGAGCTCTTAAACGAACATTTACACACGACATTTACTTCTTGACTTAAATTTGTTTTCCCGATAAATATAACTACTTTCTTCTAATGGACAGGGATC